TGTTTTGTAGGATTTGTTTGTTATTCTTTACTTCCTTTCCCTCACTGACCTGTGTCTCGCCCAACCCCCTACCCCACCTTCATCCAGAATGCAGAAGCATGGAACAACCTTTCTACAGCTTACATTCGCCTCCAAATGAAGTGAGTATGAGTGTAGTGCATATTGGAAACGTGTTGGTGTAAGAACGTGTGTGCCAGGTAATAGAAGGGGTTGAGTTTTGTCCAATAGGATTTCTGCCGCAGCAAAGTGTTTGAAACCATCCACATCCAGCAGACTGGAAAATGCTCCAGTAGTCTTTCAAAATAACTTTGGCAGGATAAATGTGCCCAAAGGTGATGATGACAGAAAGGTCAGAGGTCAACTGCATCGAAGTTTGTCCATATCTCTCTAAATTGCTATTGCTGGTATTTAGTTTCTAAAACAGAATGACATACACTATCCATGTAGTGGATTTTACCACCCACCTTAGTTATCTCTTCAGATTTCTAAACTACAGTCTCTGGGAGCATTCCTAAGGTTCTTCCTTATGCTTCTTATTTTACACTAGTCTTCTTTCAATATGACGCTGGATGTCCACCTTATTGAAACTACAATGTGCAGATTGACTACAAAACGTGCATCAACGTACTCTACTGGTCAAAAGTTTTAGAACACACCTCATTTTTCCATTTTTTTAAATTGAAAATTATGCAGTTTGATGCCTCGTTCCACTCTGAAATGAAAGCACAGTACAAATAATCAATTGGAATTATCAAACAAAATCATGGAATCAAAATGTATCTTAAACTTCTCAAAGTAGCCACCTTTGGCAGATATAACAGCTGAACACACCCGTGGCATTCTTTCTACAATAGAAATCAAATATTGTTCAGAAAGTTCTTCTCATATCCATTTCCAGTTTCTATAAATGTGTGACACTTGTAGGTTGCTTTGCTATCATTCTTCTGTCCAGTTCATCCCAAACCAGCTCGATGGGGTTTAAGTCTGGACTGTGCTGGCCACTCCATGTTTTCAAGCTCACCATCTTGTTCTTCTGAGGTAGTTCTGACATAGCTTGGATGAACGTTTTGGGTCATTATCTTGCTGTAGGATGAACCTCTGAGCAGCTAGGCAGATCAGAGGGTTTTGCATGGTGCTGCAGAATGCTGTGGTAGAACAACACACTTCCTCCTCCATGTTTGACAGTTGATGCCACACAGTATGGAGCCATCCTTTTGCCTACTCTGTGGCGTACAGAGATCCAGCGTGAAGAACCGAAGATTTCAAATTTTGATTCATCAGTGCACTTTACCTTCTCCAGACTTCAGTAGTCCTATGGCGGTGTTCCATGTCCCAGCCAAGCCTCTTTGTCTTATTCTGACATCTTAGAATAAGACAAAGAGACAAACTTGCAGCTCAAAGTCTTCTCTTCACAGTTGAAACTGAGACTAAGCTGTATTGAAGCCATTGTCCTGTGAACTCTCAGAAACGTGTCCTCAGATTCATTTGTGGCTTTGTGTCTGCCAGACCTCTTCCTGTC